GGGGCGGTGGGCCATCCTGCCTTACCCGCTGCTCCTGGCAGGACACGAAGGTCTGGAAGCCAGGCGAGACACCAAAGCCCAGCTGATGGATGTAGGGCGGCTCATCCTGGCTGTGGATCTGGACCCGGATGCCAGCTTCGAATGACGTCTCATCTGTGGGAGAAGAACAGAGGGGCTGCACTCCTACACCTGCCCAGCACCTGCACCCTGGGGCCCAGCACCCCTCCAGTGCCCCGCTTGTCCCGTAGCCCCCCCGGGATGCCCTGCTTGCCCAGCAGCCCTCCCTCCCAGCACCCCTTGCCTGTGCCCTGCCCGCACTGCGGCCCCACTCACTGGTCTCTCTCCAGATGGGCAGGTACTCTTCCTGCTGGATGTCCAGCATGATCTCCAGCCCGTTGCCCATGCCACCCTGGCGGGTCACTCGTGGGTTCCTCCGGTCCCCGTTGAAGGTGTAGCACTTACCGTAGCGTGTGTAGACCTGAAAAGGGAGAAAGGCGCAGGGGGTGAGGGAGCAGGCAGGGATTTGGCAGGACATTCTGCAAGCAGGATGAAGTCTGGGGACCCCTTTCCAAAATGGAGGTGCTGGAAAGGGAGGACATTCTTTCATGGCCCTTGGAAGGGCTCATCTAAGCCTCCCCCCCTCCCTACATTGCCACCCCTTCACCCTTGCTGGGGGGGGTGAAGCATCGCTCCCAGCACCCAGCTGTCCTGCCCCTGCTGGGAGGGGACTCACGGGGGCGAAGTGCTGGGGGCCGCAGCGCTCTCCCTGAAAGCGGCACTCCACCAGCATGTCCTCGATCTGGTGGCCCAGGCGGTGGAAGAAGCTCTGCATGGTGCGCTCGGAGCGGCGGGGTGGCAAGAAGCGCGAGTAGTTGGCGAGACGCGTCAGCCACGTGCGCCGGTCCTCCCCCAGCACGGCCAGCATCTCGGGCACCAGCGAGCGGTTCTCCTGGGACAGCCCCAGCCACTGCCCTACCGAGTAGAGGTCGGGCTTGGTGAGGCGTAGGAAGCGTGCCCGGTTGGGGTTGCAGAGGGTGACGGCCGGGAAGCGGAGCTGGGGGGCCCAGGCGAGGCGCGC